TCCAAGGCCCTTGTTTCTCTCATAACAGACACCTGAATCAAATCAGAAAACAACTGTTGAATGACTGCAGCAGTACTCCCCAGGAAAAAGAGGTTATGGATACCATCTACGACACCTCTGACATCCAAATACCCCAAGCAGCTCCAGAACCGCGAAAATCTAAAAGAAAGTGGAAGTTCACGGACCCTCTCGTCATCAATCCAAAAAGTAGATGATATTGAGACTCCTGCGGAGGTAAAGTCTTGGGAAGGAGGGTGTTATGGGGACCTACCTTCATAGACAAAATAGACTCGTCTTATAACTATATTATGACTCGTGCAACCTTTCTGTATTCATTCTTTTTGTTAATAATACATTTTCACTGAATTGCTGAGTTTGAGTTTTCTTTCGGACATCTTCCGGGTCCACAACATAGTGACATCTTTTGTTCCAGGAAAGAACTTCTTTAGACAAATACATTTATTTGAGGGAATCAGTCATATATGAAAAGTGAGAAAAAAAAAAAAAAAAAAGTGAAGGAGGAAATCTAACAAATGTTAGTAACAATTTACATTAAAATATTAAAAAGATGCTCAGCCTTTGAATTTAAAATTTTGATATCCAATGTATTACATGTTAACTTAGCCTATCTCATTCAGCTTTTTATTGTATTTATTTTTACTTTCCTTGTTATTGTTTTTAATTATACCATATTGTGTAAGGCATCATTTTATTAGGTAGGGGGATATGTTATATTATCCAGGACATAAACTGACTCTAAGGAATTCAAAAAACTGGTTCACTTCCAATGCATTTATTAAACTATAAAAAATTATACTAATTAGTACCACTGACATTATCTTTGTTTTAGGTTTCTTTTATCTATATAGCTAAATAACACAATTACAGTTCTCTTATATTTTTCTTTTTTAATTTATTTATTGCTTTATTTGTTTTATCCGGGTAAGATGAGAACAAATAGGGTACAATTTCAATGTTCATAACATTTAATTTACCATCGCCTGATGAGATGCATTGATATGAACCAAAACACAACTGCAATTGTGTAGCAATTTTTACATGTTTTCAGTGGAATATCCAATAATATATATATATATATATATATATATATATATATATATATATATTGATGCATGTTTCATTAAATAATATAGACAAATGTTGTCTATTTATTTTATGTAAATTCTTTTCATATCGTCTGATAAGCTTAATAAAATTATCATTAAAAGAAAGAAAAATCACAATATTGATACATATCTTTTAATCCTAAGCTTTCGGCTTATATAATCCATTATCAAAGATGACAATTACATTACAATATGTAAGCCGAAAGCTTAGATAGGATCAAAAAATATGTATCAATATTGTGATTTTCTTCATTTACTGATAATGTTATTAAGCTTATCAGACGATATGAAAAGAATTTACATAAAATAAATAGACAACACTTGTCTATATTATTTAAGGAAACATGTATGAATGAAAAAATGCTGCCTAAATACACACACACACACACACACATATATATATATATATATATATACACACACAGAAACAGCTTTGCAAGTTAAGGTTTAAAAATAATAAAGTTTTTATAGGTCATTTAGAGGAATAATAAAAAAAAACAAAGAAATAGAAGATGTGGAATAGACACTTATGTCAGAGACAATATACAACATGCCATAATACGCATGTGCATTGTGTGGCAGTTGACATGTAAACAATAAAATGACATTGAAGTGAGTTGATCCTTGCCTTGGAGAAATTAAAATACTGAAAGGATAAATATATTAAAAAGTATTTGGTGCTCTCTAACTAGTAGTTGGTTAATAGTTGGTTTATTGATCTAGCAAAAATGAGGTGATCTTGATAAGGGCTTGAGAAATATGGCTTTATGCCAAAGCTGGACAAATACCTAAAAACATCTCCATTGGTGCAGTAGTTGTTGTTATCATCATTGGTAGGTTTGCTCTTCAATGGGTGTTCATTAAAAATGGAATTGTTCTAAATTTGATTTCATTCTCAACAATACATTTTTTTTTCAAAATAAAGATGAAAAATTAAACTATAAGCTTCCCTATATAGTCTGTGTCATTTTGCAATGTATAAATGAAAGATGTAATTTTTAAAAAATATTATACCTTCTTCTATAGCCATACTTACTTGGCACATGTCAGAGAGTATCCCCCAGATGAGGCTCCGTTTTATGTGGTCTATAGGGAATTTTTGCCTGAGCCTACGGGCTCGGATACCCCACTTTAAAACTTGGCCTTCTGCTACATCTTGCTGCGTGGGGCAGGAGGTAAATAATTATACCTTCTTTTATATGCTTTATCCCTTCAAGGAAGCAATCATAGTTCTCCACAATTTCCTGTCCTTTGTATTTCTTAATAAATAAGCAAACCTTAAACTTGAAATAAAGTCACTTCCTGTGTATAGAAATTATATTATAATTACTTGAAAATAGATAGGGGAAACTACTCTGCAATTAGCCAAACTTCAACTACAGTTTAAAATTCAAGTTAGCTTTAGATGTACTTATATGAGGAGGTGCTGAAGTGTTCTCAGCCTGACCAAGAAGGAATTCTTCATCCAAAGTTCTGTTGCTTGAATTTTTGGTTAAATTTTGATAAGCAGGTCAGAACTTTTCTACTTCATATCAATTCTTAATCAGAATATGTCTATTTTTAAATGATATTTGAAATGATGAATGCTTAGAATTTAGGGAAAATGTTTAAAGTGTGGAAATAATATCAAGATGGAAAAGACAAAGGGATGAAAATTTTATTTTTGTATAAAATAAAAGATATCTATGAAATAAAAATACATTTATTTTTAAATAAAAAATATGTAATATTTTTTTATTTTCCAAAATAAAAGTATCACCATTTCATTGGTGTCATTATTTTGTGATCCAATTAACAAAATTTTAAGGTCTTTTTTTCTTTTAGGTTTTTGTAACAAACAAGCAAAAATTAAATCATTATTATCTGGGTGAGCACAACTGCAGGCTAGTCCTGAGTATGACGATAAGCTACATCTGGCAGCAAGGCCTGTGATCAGGAGATTAAAGGTGTTGAAGAGTGTAGAACCACCTCTTAATTGCTATTGTTCCCAGGTCCACCCTGACCTGAGGTGGTAACACCTGTTAGGATTCCAATCATGGGCAAATAGTGCCGCCCCCCAAAAAATCAAAACACTAGGGAAGTATAAAACTACATTTTGATAGTATAAAATACCAGCATTACATTTTTATATAAAAAAATTACCAATACATTTTTGTAGTGAAATTACCAGCAATATTTTTATTAAAAAAAAATTACCAACAATACATTTTATCTACAAACTATATATTAAAAAAGTATGTTTACTCTGAAAGTATAAAATGATGAACAAAATATCTGTAGCTGAAGGCATAAAATTGCATTCAAAATATATGTAGCTGATGCTATAAAATTGTGCACAAAATATCTGTAGCTGATGCTATAAAATTGTGTACAAAATATCTGTAGCTGATGCTATAAAATTGTGTACAAAATATCTGTAGCTGATGCTATAAAATTGTGTACAAAATATCTGCGGCTGAAGGCATAAAATTGCATTCAAAATATATGTAGCTGATGCTATAAAATTGTGTACAAAATATCTGTAGCTGATGCTATAAAATTGTGTACAAAATATCTGTGGCTGAAGGCATAAAATTGCATTCAAAATATCTGTAGCTGATGCTATAAAATTGTGTACAAAATATCTGTAGCTGAAGGCATAAAATTGCATTCAAAATATATGGAGCTGATGCTATAAAATTGTGTACAAAATATCTGTAGCTGATGCTATAAAATTGTGTACAAAATATCTAGATTTCAGTATTAAACAACCTGTAGAGGTTGATAAGCTGCTAAATGAAATCAATGAAATCAAACCAAATGCAAACTCCAAAATAATATCATTAATCTGAAAATTAGACTAAAATTCTTTTATTCTTTAAATTTATTTTTGCATTCAATTTATATAAAATACAATAGGTCTATTTGAGCAGTAATGAATATAATTGCATTAATTCCAAACCACTGACAATCCTTTCCTTTCTGATTTTCAATCTATTTCTATAGTAATATCACTTACAGCAAAACCCATAAAAAAACATACAAAAACTGGATCATTATTATTGGGGTGAATGTGGATGCAGACCCCACACTATTAGTAATCTTTTCATTTATTTTTCTCTTTTAATGTTGATATAAATTTCACTGGAACAAACATACAAAAATAAAATCATTATTATTGGGGTGAAAATCATTATTATTGGCATGAGTGTGGATACAGACCCCCACACTATTAGCAATCTTTTCATTTCTTTTCCTCTTAATGTTGATATGATTTTCACAGCTTTTGAAACAAATGTCTTAAAACAACAATTAAAAATTGAACTATTATTATTTGGGTGAGCACAAATGTAAATCCCATACTATTATTATAAACCTGCAAATTTGATTGAAAATTGGTTTATTCTTCGACTTATAACATTTTAATTGTATTGCCCTACCAAAATTCATGCTACAATGTGCTGTTTTACATTAACAAAGGCGCATACCAACTAACAAATCAGATCAATATAATATAGAGTATTATGTTGTTGTCATACATTGAAGCAGTCAGTGGAAATTCTGTTCATGTGGCATGGTGTCAACCAGACTCTTCAAAACAAGAACTTTTCAGAAAATCCTTGCAGAGTAAAGGATGGATGTTTTATGGAGCTCTACAATCTTTGTCTCAATTCCAATTTTCCATAAGCACTCTTTCAAGAATCTAGGTGGTATTCCAAGAGCATCCATACTACAGGAATTACTTCAACAGTCATTAGATCTTCTGATACCATATGACTCAAAACAGTGACAAAATAAACGTTCACATGCAATAGATATACTGTAAATAAAATTTTCTTGTCTCCACTTACAAGAATATTTAAAAATTATAAGTTAAAAAACAGAGAGCCTTACCTGATGTTAAAGTTATGCTTCTGGGTCTTGGATTTTCTTTACACCCATCCATTCCTAATAAGGGATCCTGGTCATCATTCAATAGAGTTGAATCTGCCAAAATACATGAAACATCAATTTTAAAATATATATCTATAAACTAATTCCAACTAAAGATTGCTTGGGTGCCAAACAGAGTCATGGTGAGTTGAAGCACTCTGCATATTTTAAAGCTATATTTTATTGTTAGTCTGTCTTCTGACACTGAGCACTTGGTTTTTGTTTTACAGTTTTATTTTTTTTTATATATATATATATATATATATATATATATATATATATATATATATATTGAACAATAAAAAATATAAAAAAATTAAAATCTTCAGACACACTGGGTTGTATATTAATATTCTTTCATCTTTATTATTATTTCAGTTAGATTCCTCCACTAGTTTTGGGCAACATGGCCATCATCAGGAGAAAAAAATGTCTGCTTGCTGGTAGCAGTGAACTACAGAAATGAATGTCTTGATGGAGAAAATGAACTTTTGTCTGTAGTTTTCATTTGTTTTTTTATTTTTTTAACATGAATTTTGGTCAGTCCTTTATATATATATATATATATATATATATATAGGTAAAAATTCATGGGTAAGTAATCCAAGTAGATCCTAATAATAAAAAATATTAAAACTGATCCACAAAAGAGAGCTCGATATATTTATTATAGAGCATATAAATGAATTACATAAAAATTAAACTATTACCCCATTCAGATGGCTATTTCTTTAACAAACGTTTTTGTATTAACAAGCCACAGGGAAAATATCCTGGAGGTGATATGGCCATCTGAATGGGATAATAGAGTTTAATTTTTATGTAATTCACATACATACATACATACATACATATATATATATATATATATATATATATATATATATATATATGTATTATATTTATATATGTGTGTGTGTGTGTGTGTGTGGAACCCTACTAGAAAGTGTATAAAAATTCAATAAATTTAAGTAATATCACTAAAACTCATTTTTGTGCACAAGGTAGGCTCCAGATTTGAATTTCCACATTCACATTTATTAATCACTCAGCGATGTTATCCCAAATGCTCTTAGACCTTTGCAAAATCAGACAACCATGTTTGTTGCCTGCTATGAAATTTGAGAGATCACTCCAGAAAATGATCCCTCTTAAAAATAGGTATTTTAAAATTGGGAAAATATTTATTAACCAATAAACTTCCGAGTTTAGTAAATCTATCTTTTAGTTGCCTTGATCCATCTATTTTCTATAAATACAATCGTGTAAATTCAAGAGATCATTTTCAGTAAACCTTTGACTAGGGTTGTGTACAAACTGTTTACTCACATCTTTCATATAATTAATTACTCAACCCTTTCACATATTTTATCAAGTAACTTCTTGCAACTTCTTCCCTGAAGACCAACCATAACAATCCAGGCTCTAGTATTGCCACGAGGGCGTTTGATTCAGCAGAAGCTTGAGAGTTAGTTGGCATACTATTACTTTGGCGGCTTAGGTCTATTTTTGATATTAAAAACATGGACCTATATAAGTATGATGGGATTATAATTCTATGCAAATCAAGCACACAAAAAGCTGACTGCCTAAGAAAAGACCTAATCAAGTTCTTCAAAGACCAAGGTCTGAGCATTACCACCACCACCACCACCAATGCTAAAATTATCAATTTCTTGGATGTAACCTTTGACCTATCTAAAGGCCTTCACAAACCATACACGAAAGATATATTAATAAACAGTCCAACAACCATCCTATAATTCTGAATAAATTACATAAGTCCATCCAATATAGACTGTCCACCAACTCTAGCAATTAAGATATTTTTGACAAACGTAAAGGCAAATATGTAGAAACACTAGAGCTTAGTAACCATAAAATTAACCTTGAATTCCTAGCAAATAGCAATAAGGATGCCAACAAACCAAAATGTCGTAAACGCAGTATTATATGGTTCAACTTGCCCTTCAACAAAAATGTCAAAACTAATGTCGTAAACATTTTTCAAATTTAATTCGCAAGCACTTTAGTCATTCCCCAACACTTAAGATCTTCAACAAAAATAACATCAAAGTTAGCTACAGTTGTGCTAAAAACATCGACCAGCATATAGCCCAGCACAACAATTCCAATCTAAACAAGCATTTCAACAACCTTCAAAGTAACAACATCCCTGTAATTAATAACTGCAATTGCAGAAATAGTAAATCCTGCCCATTAAACAGTAAATGCATATCCAAATCATTAGTTTATAAAGCTGAAATCAAATATGTCAATGAGGTCAAGTTTTACATGGGATTTACGGAAAATAATTGGAAATTGCATTTCTACCACCACTGAATTACATTTGGTCATTTCAGATATTGAAATAGCACTGCCCTCTCTAAATTTTTCTGGAATCTAAAAAGCGAGAATAAAAACCCAATTATCACCTGGGAATTATTTGCAAAAGGTAAGCCCATCAGTGGGAAAAGCAATAAATGTAATTTATGTCTCTGAAAAATTAATAAGCTTGAAAAATATAAAACACTTAACCTCTTAAATAAAAGAAATGATTCGATTAGTAACTGCCTGCACAAATCCAAGTTCCTACTCAAACACGTTGACCCAGATTAATATAGTCTAGCTGGACCAGGTACCGACATCTACTAGTATTGATATTAATTTTTTTTCCTTTTCCCTAACTACCTTTATTGTACAGCTATTGTTAATTATAGACAATAACACATTTAACATTTTTGTTTTTCCATTATCTTACCACTATCATTTTCAGTTTATAACTACTATTATTTAAAACACTAAGTTTAACATTCTTGGCTGACATAAAGTGGAAAGACTACATTGAATCTATTGCTAGGTCAGGTGCTAAGAAATTTGGTTCCCTCTGTTGTACTAGACAAATTTTCTCAGAATCTATATTACATATCTTTAAGTCTACCATTTTCTCATGCTTAGAATATTGTTGCCACATATGGTCTGGTGCTCCTGCTATTTATTCAGAGATTTTTGATAAAATCCAAAGGATAATCAGCAATATTATTGATCCAGACCTGGCATCATGGCTTCAGTCATGTAAAGTTGCTCCCCTGTACCTTTTCTACAAATACTTTCATGGTAATTGTTCAGATGAGCTCTTTGCTATGGTACCAAGACTTTATGAATTTAAACACAGTACTAGACTGGCATCGAGATCTCAGCAATTTACAGTTGAATTGGCAGCTAGATGTAACTAAGTCCTATGCTAACTGATTTTTCTCTTACACTTCTCACTTGTGGAACTCTTCTGACTCCATGCTTTTTGGCCAAATTTGATCTTCAAAAATTTAAATGCAATGTCAATTCTCATCTACTGTCTTCCTTATTACTCTTCCATTGTCTCCGTTCCTTCATAATGTTTTGTTTTCTAATTCTTTCACATCCAGTAACCCTTTGTGTCTTAGTGGCTTTAAAACACTTGTATACATGAATCACTACAATTTAATAGACCACATTTTCATTTGCAATTCTCTGTTCAAGCAGTGTGCCTAAAATAAAACTTTCTTCCAATTCCTGATAACATGACAGTGCACAGATGTACTCTCAACTTATGCAAATTAATTTATGCAAAGTTTTTTTGCATACTAATTAAGTTGTGCCAGTGATTCTTTCCCTGTTAATATCTTATAACTGAGTGTTATAAAATATGAGCAAAAATACTATTAAGGAAAGAGAACAATAAAAGAACAAGAATTAAGAAATAGAAGATAACAACTAACTTTGCACTTAAATTTTTTAATATCATTGAGTGAGAAGCGTGATAGAAGAAAGATTATCATCAGAACAATTACCATGTAAGTATTTATAGAAAAGACACAGGAAACCTACATTGTAGTGGTGGGAAAGTAACTGAAGGAGTGATGCCAAGTAAGGGCCAATAACATTGCAGATTCTTATTTGGATTTTATGAAGAATCTCTAAATATATATCTGGCATACCAGACAATATGTGGCAGTAATATTCAAGTCATGAATGAATGGTAGACTTATAAATATGTAAGATAGTAAGAAAAATTGTCTAGCACAAAACAGTAAACCAACTCTCTTTGCAGCAGACCTAGCAATTAAAATATAATTTTTCCATTTCATGTTAGCCAATCTACAAGAGAAGATGTATAAATACTCGTTATTTTTATCACACTTTTACAAAGTAATATGGTCAGGGCTATTTCCTGATACTGAGGGAGCTGCACAGTTTTCATTTCCACCTACATGCATTTTAAATAGACCATACCTACATTGATAGATATGTAAGTACATTTTTTAAAGCACCATGAACTGCAAGGGAAATTCCAAGAAAATAAGTTTTAGTATAAAAGACATTAATGCAGTTAATGCACTAAAGTCACAAAGATGCAAGGGATTACTGATCATGAAAGAAACTAAGAAAACATTATTGAAAAGAAAGGACAATAAAAGAACAGGATTCAAGAAAATGAAAGATGACAATTGACATTGTGTCTAAATGTTTGAAGATTGTAGTTCACAGGAAAATGTGTAACGGTTATTGACACCCCCCCCCAATCATGAGTGAAGTTAAAATTTTGGTTTAGTCTGTAGCAGTCGCTTTCACGTTAATACTCCTGGGAAAAGTATGAGGCCATCTTTTCTCTCTCACGTTCACCAGCTATGTATTAAATAGCAGGGTAAACTTAGATCTCTAGCCTTGCATTGTAGGCAGTTTAAGAGAAGGATTTACACGGAATTCAAAAATGTGGAGACAGGTTAATGGAAAAGCATTTGTTTATATTTCCCATGAATTCATGGCAATTCACAGATAATAAACAAAAGGAAATGGGGAGCATTATTGAAGAGATGGCATCAGATTTAAAAAAAAAAACAAAAACAAAAAAAACACTATATTTAACTTTGGATCAGGCAAAATAAAAAAAAATAAAAAAACTGTTTCAAAAGGATGCTTTTCTCTTGACCCCGTTATCACAGCATACTGCTTTGGTAATTTTTATTGTTTTAAAAAGCTATTTTTAAAATTTTAATAAAACCATGATATATAAATGTCAATTTATTTTTCCCTTGAGAATTGAAATGTTAAATACTATTTATTCAATGATTTGTTTACAATTTTTGATTTATAAAAGGTATTTTTTCTTGCTTAGGATTTAAGTAAGACTCCCATCCCCGAAAATGGTTTGGCATGTAATGTACATTTACCCAAGATTAAAACCTCATTGGAGTTAAAATGTAGTATAACATGTTTAATATTCTTCTCAAGCAGTATCTCTTATTTGGGAGAGAGCTAGGGTCAGTGTATGTACACATAAGTCTCTTACTTTAAACTAGGTACCACCAAAATGGGTGTTATTTTTCTGAAATGAAAGTAAAGTATTGAGGGATAATGATGAGGAAACATATGTATTATATTTAATGAAACAAGATAAGGAATTTATTTACAAATTTACACATTTGAAATTGTCAATAACTTCTTTCAAGAAAAGGAATCAAATATTTAAAGTTTGTAGTTTTAATGAATTGTCAAGAAGAATTAAATAGAGTTCTTTGAAATTGCTCATTAGAGGCTGATAATGTATCAGTGTGTAACTTGATACCAGCATTATTCAGATGCATGGAACTCTGGCTTTCTGCTTGCTGTTTCTTCCTGCTTTTTCTCTCTTTGCCTATTTATATCAAAAAGCAATTTCACATTGGCTCATTACTTTTTTCTCAGTTTGTAAGCTGCTTCCCATTTCCATTGGTCAAAATAAATTTTTACATAGGCTCGCTAAACTTTGCCTTGACCTTTTCTTCAGGCCAGAGCCAATCCATTATTGGTCAAAATAAATTTTTGCATAGGCTCGTGAATTTTAAAACAGTGGAGAAAAGAGTTTTTATTTTGTATTCACCACAAAAGCAAAAAAACAAAATAAAAAATTACCACCACTGTCTGCCAAAAATCAGAAAATTATCTTATTCAAACAAAATTTTCAGTAGTTATTAATGAATTAATTTTTTACTAAATTGGTTTTTGTGTCTTGAAAGCACTGTTTTCGGATGCATTGGTACCAGTATTTTTTCTTCATTCATCTGTTTCCTGCATTCATGTACAGATTCTTTTAGACAATAAATATAAATACTTAATTACTTCAGTAATTAAATGTAAGTTATTTTTAAGTTTTATTATTTAAAACAAAAAAATCTTTGACCTATTTTTTCCTGCATAGTTTGTTCCACTCACTACCAATAAATTTTTCAGAACAACAACAAAACTATATCATTCATAAAAAAAAAAAAAAAAGAAAAAAGAAGGAATATTTCACTGTATTTTTTGTAAAATTTATTTAGAATAAATATTTTTCCTTTCACATCATTTTAATGCAAATCACATTTTCATCCTATATTTTTGTTTAGGTAGTGTCTGAATGCCTTCAGACTTTATTCATTAAAAAAAGTTTAATAAAAGTGTATTAAATAAAAATTTATGAGGTTAAAGAAAATTAAATTTTAAATACAAGTAACAAATTCTTGATTACTGCACTGCTGGTTTTTCGTATTTCTTTAGATTTTTTTTATATTTTTTTCACTTTCCCCGCGCTTTTTCGGACGGTGGTAGAATTACAGAAGTATTTCTATTTTAATTTTATCCTTTGACCTCTTGTAATTTTCATTCCGTTTTAAATTAAAGCAAAAGGTAAGCATCACTTTTTTTTTCTTTTAGAAAATCCATTTTATTAATCCTGAGACTTCAAAACACATCTCGGGAATTTTAAATTTGTTTACATTTTATTTTTCGTATACAATGGCGGATCAATGAATGACGGAAAACAAAAAACAAACAAAAAAAAAAAAAAAACGTGTCCATGCTTTAGCGTTCCTTACTTAAGAAAAATTTTTATTTATAAACGGAAATTAATTTTTCTTTTAATACGGATTATTTTTTTTTTTTAGAACCGAAATTTAAGTTCAAAGAAAGTATTTTATACTGTAAATAATTTAAAGAAAGTTCAAAGAAAGTATTTTGTTTTTACAGAAAGAAAGTTCAAAGAAAGTATAATTTTACATAAAATATTTAAAATGCGTTTTTTTAGAAAGTCCATCGCGGTACCCACAAAAAATTGTCCCTGTGCCATATCTAATTTTTTTACCACACATAATTTAAACTTTAAATTCTGTTTAAATTTAAAGTGTCAAGAAGATTTTTAGCCTTGAAAAAAAAAAAAAGAAAGAAAATTATGAAGTAATAAAATTGTAAAAAAAAGTTTGATTTTTTATTGGTAATCTTTCATTATGAAAGTTAAAAAAAAAAGGAAACGATTTTTAATTTTTACTTGTTGATCAAATTAAATATCTTCTGTGAAAGTAATTTTCTGACTTTATTTTATAGAAAAAAAAACAATGTAATTTAAATATTACATTTTTTATTTTTATCATTTATGTATTAGATTTAGAGCGGGTTTTTTTTTTTTTAACAATTGTTTACTGCTTCCAGCCAGACTGCTGACATATTTCTAAAAATAAAAATAAAATGTTACCAGATAAAAACGTAAAAACGTCAGTTTTTGTTTTTTTGGTGGGTGAGGTCGGACCGACAATTTTTTTTTTTTAGAGGCATCATGGACATTAATTTTTTTATTAAATTATTTATAATCGATTTTGTGGAAGCGAGCAAAAAATTGACATTCCAATCTATAATTTCTATTTGAAATACACCAGAGTATTTTGCTTAGTGTACTGTAGTGTAGTGTAGTAGTAACTGTATTATTGTTATTGTAAATCATTTTTGGCTTTCAATTTTTAAACTAAAGCTAAAAAAAATGATATCTTTAAGAATGCTTTTTCTTTTCATTTTTAAAAATTCATTTTTAAAAACCTAAGGTATCGAAAATTCAGTGGAGATACCTAAATTTTTTAATAATATTATTTTTAATTTTAATTTTTCTATTTCGATTTTGTGGATGAAGTTGAAAAAAAAACATTTTACAATTTTAAAAATAAATAAATTGTGTAAGAAAATTAAGTTCAGAATGCCAAACAAATAAACTAAAACAAACACTGATCAGGGTGATATGTCGTTAAATTGTAAAAATGGATCTTTAAAACTTAAAGTAGCTTCATATTCCAAGTCCTCTACTTTGGGTTTGGAAACCATGCATTCAAAATTAAACGGAAAATAACTTTCAGAATTTCAACGGATTTTTAAAAGCAATAACAAACATGAAGAAAATATTTTAAATAAAATAAATAAATCAGCATCGGATTGTTCATTTAGTTTTCGAACGTATGTTTTTTAAATGAACTCCAAAGGAGGTTTCAGAATATGATTGATCAAGTTAAGTAAGTTAATTAGTGTTTTTTGGTGAGTACAATTCGTTTGAGACGTTAAACTTAACAAAACTGAAAAATAAAAATGTTTAGAAAAGACTGAAGATACGAAACTTAAATGTGGTATTCATTATTATTATTTTTTTGTAAAATAAAAACTAAGTCTAGAGTCGGGGCCATAATTCTTGAGTTAGTCTTTCTTTATTGTTATTTCGAAAAAACGTATAAACAATGTTATAAATTTTTACAAATACATTTTTCGAAATAAATATATATTTTCTTCAGACATATTCCTATTCGTGCGGATGGTCGTTAGTTTTTTTTTTTATTTGAGAAATCGCTTTTTTTAGGATGAAACCAGCTATATTGTTTGAGTATGAGGAACTAAAAATTCATGCAAAAATCAATTTTCATGAATATAATTTATTAATTTTTAATTTCTATAACTTTGTGATTGTCCCCCTCAGATCATACTCCATTAAGCGGACCAACCATCACTAATAATCGTAGAGAACTTTGTTCAATATACGTCTATAGATTACTTTTCGATCTATCAAGAATAAATTCTACAAAGTAATTAAATTCTTCAGAATTTCTTTCAATTCTTCCAAAGAGCCTTTTTTTTAGTATTTACTAAATTTAAATTACTTTCATTTTTTTTGCGCATCCGAATTATGGCCCCTGTTTTATGGGCCCGATCCTAAACTTTTACCAAACATAATATCTTTATTCTTCTTTATTCAATAAAAGTTTTTTTTTTTAAAAGTAATATGAACTTACCACCCATTGTTTCTGTGTTAAGAGAAAGTTCTTAAAATTCTTCTGTGTTTTGATGTCGATTTCTGTGTGTCACGTCCATACGGTGTTGTTTGAAAGTAATTCCACTGTTAAACTACTTTGTCTTTTCTATTGAAACTTGTTCAAGTCAAAACAAAACTAAAACAGGTTTGAAAAATAATAGGATCATTGCAAATATCAAAATTTAGATCAATGGTTTAAGTAATGGGACAACAACTAGAAAGGATGAAGTTTTATTTAAAACTAAAATAAAGGGACAAAAATATCGTCAGGTCACAAATGCGCTGCGGCCAGGTCAATAGCCCCTCTAGTTCGATCCTCTTTTTTTCACAATTTTCGTTTGAGATTGGTCCCAACCTGAAGCCAAACAATTTGTCCTGCTTTTCAACTCATATGAGAAAGGTGGATTTTAAATAGAACGAAAAAAAAATCGATCGTGAATTGAACTCTGTTCGATTATGTTACACTCCACCGCGCTGATAACCATTCATTTGCATCTGTTGTATGGCTGCATGGTGTACTGTAACTGTTTTGAACAGTTCAGTTTTTCCTTTATAGTGGTGTTTTTTTTTGTTTACCACATCTGCTTCATAAGCAGATTTTGTTGCTAGTTCGAAACTCGCCGAAATTTTGAGTAAAGATATTTTCATCAATGTTGCCATTAAAATGTACTAAAAAAAAAACCCCCACAGATGGCAAAAATGGATGAAATTGAAATACAGTACATGCAGTTTTTAAAATAAATTTACCGCCACGGACTTTCTCATAAAACCCGAAAAAAACAAAAAAAAACAACGCATTAAATAATTTTTTCTTTGAAGTTAAATTTTTTTTTTTTTTTGAAAGATAAAAATTGCCTAAAAGGCTAGTTCTTAAATAATACTTTCCGTATGTAAATAAAGTTTTTTATTCATTAAAAACATTTGCACGTTCACTCGTCTCGTCACTCACCGAACCGCCATTTAGGGATTTTCTAAACTACGTTTCAATGCAGCACAAGGCCGAAAGTATGGAGCACCTAGTGAGGATCAAACTCAGTCGAAACTGATCTAGCGAGACACACTTGCTAACTATTACGTGCCAAATTGAATCGCCATTACTGACAAGTCTAAAAAACAAATTTAGAAATCTCTTAAAAATCTGCTATTTGTTTTCAAGATGCTTTTCCCAGTGAATTAGTAAAATTATTTTAAGGATTTTTTTTTTTTACAGTAAAAGTGTTTACTTTCAGCTTAAAATGGAAGTAACGTTTTTATTTATGCACGATAGCCTGTGGTGTTAAAAAAAAAAACTATAATTTTCTACTGTAATCCGCCTCTAAAAAATCGCGCGAAAAAAATCTAAAAAAGCACCAACAGTGCAATAATCAAGAAAGTAGTATAAATATAAATTCAGCTTATATAATCAATAGTTCAAGAAAATATTTTTTTTATTCTTTACGCTTTTATGAAACTTAGTAGTATTTTTAATGATACTTTTGACATCTGTTTATATTTCTAAGATTTACATTGTTCGGACTGTTGTCCTCTTTATTGCCATTTTCTTTACGTTTTGGCCGTTGTACGCTCCGGCCTTCTTCAGGTGATATTTATTGGAATTTGGAAGCGAACCCTTTATTTAGTCCACATTTAGTCAAATTATACGTGCTGTGCCTTTGGATATCCCAATTTTAGTTAATTCCCTTTGATAATTCAACTCTCCAAATTTTTGTTCCTTCAGCTATGGCCAGGGATTAAACTCACAACTCTTTGCTTTAAGTCACTTTGCTTTAATTTTTCGGTTATTTTCTTATCTGTTTGATGTGTGGATTGAAGAGGAAATAAGCAGCAAAAAACATTCAACCACCAAATGACAAAAATGGTTTCTGAGTCGGAGGATACGCGCATCCTTCCGTTTAATAAATTAATCCTTTGAAAACAAATATTTAACATTTTTCAGTCAATGGTCCGCGTTACCACCGAGAATAAAAAAAAAACATAGTTCGTAATCCCTTTAAATAATATTGCGGGGGTATGCTGGTCGAGTGTTTAAGTTGGAAAACACATGTCTCCTGGTATATATTACCCACAACAAAAATGGCGGACTCGGGGTGGGAGTCCGGGTAATAAAATAAAAGTAACAATATAACTATATATATAAACGAACGATAGGTATGTATGAACTAAACAAGGATATACATAGAAAATAGAATATTGTTGCGTGTTACAAAACAATGAACCTGAATGAAGAAAACACTAAAGAAGGTGTTTGTGTAGAAGTAAGTGTAACAAGCGTGTGTGATAGTCACATGTGTATCTATGCATGTGTGTGAGAGAGTTCAAAAGACCAAGGGAAGCGAACGTTTTCAACATCAGTGTTCTTATCTATGTGCGACTACATCTGAAAACTAGAGAGAAAAAAAAACAAAAGAAAAATAAACAAATATAGAGAGTGACAGAATGTCATTGCCTATTTATACGCTTAGGAAGCGTCTCCTATAGGCAGCTTTTTTTTTTTTCGGAAAGTAAGTAGGGTAACTCCACAATAGTATATAAGCCAAGTCTCTAGATCAGACAACCAGTAACGAGATAGAAACGGCAGCAGTTTCACGAACCATCGACTTCATTCGCCTTCCTTACCAAGCTACATGACACTTACGCCCTTCCCCATCAAGCTACATGACACTTACACTTGCCTCCTTACTTTCTCCCTTGCCTCTTTTTTTCACACATGCATGCAAAGAAATCACATTTCTTTTTATCTTAACAAGCAAGAGATTTTGACACAAATGTAAGAACTTATACACGCTAAGAAAAGAAAACACGAAAATAAAAATATTTTATATTTAAATACCTTTCTTGATTTTTACTTTGTTGTGGGTCGATTCAAATCCGCAACAGATGTCATAAAATATTTAATTGGATTCAATGTGGTGTTTTTAAAAACTATTCTGAATTTAAAAGTTATTGAATTATCATATTAAAAGAATTTTCCCTGGGGTGAGAGGAATGGGAGGAGAGAGAACGTCACCCCACTTATCCCGATTATAGAAAAAGGCAAATACAAAAACTCAAAACTACGATGTAAAGTTTGAAAGGAACAAACATTTATTAAAGGATTTTCGCGTATAGTTAATGTCCACAAAGTCAAAGACAAGAAGAAGAAAAGAAATGCCAAGATTGGATTTTATTCAAAGGGTTTATTGTACAGAAAAGTGTGTATGCACAATAAGTAAAAAGAAGGCTTGCAAATATAATTTATATTTACGAACTTAACTGTTAGGAGAATTTTCAAGGAACAAGATGGAAGGGGCGTCTCCCAAAACGTGTCGTGACTACGGCTGACTGGCAAAAGAGTGTTGGGACTTTTGGGTCATTTGATTTATCAGAAGGATTTTTGTTATTATCGGTTGCGTGTCTAACCGTGTCCCAAACAAATATACAAACAAGCGTGAGATTTCAAACAAGGAAAAAACGAGACATATATAGATCAAAACAATAAAGCATTTATATACAATTAAACATTTACAAACTGGAACAATATGTGTATTAATGCGTGCGTAAATTGTATGTGTTGCTGGAATGTTTGATGTCTCTGTGTCGTTATGTTTGCTGTTTTTTCTTGTTTGTATCAAATATTGGAGTAATAAGATTTAAGAGTTTTTTTTTGCAAAAGTTTGTCGAAGTAGTCTACCTTTGAACGTGTTTGTGTTTTGTATCGTATTTCTTATTTTTGTAATGATTATAAATCAATATGTATAAGAAATTTAGTGGAAAGTTTCGAGAGTCGTTCGTTGAATGTTCAAAGTGAGTCAGTGAGTGTTCTTTGAAAAGCGCGGCAAGATTGTTTTCAAACGTCGTGGAGTATTTAGGCAATTGCTCGGTGAATTTGCTAGACTGACTGAGTGGGGTTGGTAATTTTCTTTATCGTCTGGTCAGCGATGACTTTGAAATGTTACATCTTGAAGGTTGGTAATTACAGCTACTCTGCTGCTCCCTTCCACTGAAAGGGGCTGTCTGCCTTTCCTTTATATAACACTTGGGTTTTCAAAAGTGGCTCAAGTCGTTTTGGCGCAATTCTTGTTTCAGAAGACGATTGACCAATGGAATTGCTTGGTTCGATTCTTGCCATTTCTATTGGTTGAGGTTTTTCTGTACGTAGGCGTACGATGTGGACTGTGCCTTTTTAAGGTTAGAGAAGGTTAGAATACTAGAAGAGTCCACAAGAGGATTTCAGAATCGAGTTTACCGCTTGGCTCCAAGAAGGGCTCATGATTGGACAGCAATTAGCCAATCAGTGTCCCGGATTAGTAATGTTTTCAAGTTCAAGCTTGATCTTTGAACTGTAAAGGGTTAGCTCCCTTTTAAACCGCTTCACGCGAGAGGGCAGTGTTTGCACTGCACTACTGGGCGGATGATCTGCACAAGCGAACAACGGCTGGACATTGGACTCAACGACTAAGTGCACGGTCCGAAAGCGATCCGCATCATATTAGTGGTTTCGGCTGTCAGCCACGGACTTAGAGAGGAGATGGACACCGCCAAGTTATCTACAAGCCCACTGAAAAGATTATGAAGCAAGAGAAGCAAAATATTTATGGTTTCTGTATTTGGATCCACCACCTACGATTACAAAAGGCAAAGGGAGGATGATGAGCTTTCTTTACTATCCTTTTCAAATTTTTACATTACTGAGACATAAAAAAATCAATATAACCAAATACAGTTTTACAAAAGGTTTGCATAAAAATTTCATTTCGCGCGCCTTTTTAGTAACATGACAAAATAATATTTAAATATAAAGAATGAAAGGCTCTTAACACGATATACAATTCTATCTTCAAATAATGGGAAAAAACTTGAGAATTTCATACAAAAACTTTAAATAAGGTTGAAAATACTCTTTTAAAAAGGTACACCCACATAATAGTAAAACGAAGAAACCAGAGAGGACGCTTTCGCAAAATTCGCTTGCGTCACTAGGACTCTTAACAATTTTTCTTCTTTAGAA